GTTCGAGAGCTAGGGCAGAAAAGAGTTCGACTGATTACTTCGTTTTACACCACTGTTATGCTTTTTATACCGGCTATTGTTAGCATGTTCGTGTTTGAAGCCGATGGTGATAGCACATCCGTGTCTGAGTCTTGGCTGGCCATTGGCAAACACTGTGGTCTTTGGTGTGCTTTTAAGTGAGAATTACACTGACGAGAAAGTATCTTCTTCTAAAGATTTTCACAAGGAGTATTTCATTACGTTTGTTTGTACACTTGTTTTGGAGTTATTCTATTATCCAGAGCTTTGCCTGTGGGGATTGCTTATCTGTGGTTTGTTACTCTGGATTTCGGTGAGGGAATTGGACCCTGTTGATACTAATTATCCCGAACTAGGTTTTGAATCTCGCTAAGTCATTTAGCACATCACTCATGAAACCTCTTATGGTCATTTTGGGCGAGAGGAAATCAAGAAAAATGGCTCTGTTTTTATTGATCAATACCGCCTACATGGTTGTTGAATTTATAGCTGGTTTCATGAGTAACAGTCTCGGTTTGATATCCGATGCTTGTCACATGTTGTTCGACTGTGCTGCTTTAGCAATTGGTCTTTATGCATCTTATATCTCACGATTGCTGGCAAAGAGCCAGTTCAACTATGGTCGTGAGAGGTTCGAGGTTTCGATCGTTATATATGTCACTCACTAAGGTGCAATCCGTTTAACACTAATGTGCAACGATTATTAGTTTTTTAATTATTTGTCACAATCCATAGTAAGACAACTATAATTGGTTTATTTGACATAATTAATTTATTTATTTAGTTCGTTTAATCGACTTATCCTAAATAATTGCAATAATTTGTAATTTATATTACAATTATATTTAATATGTTAATAATTTTATTTATTATTTTTATATTATTTTTGGTTGAAAAAATTTGAGTTCGGTCCGATTTGATCTCTATTGTGCAATATGTTAATCGTGATAAAGTGCAACATATTGTTTGTAAAGTGCAACGTATTGTTTTATAAAGTGCAACGTGATCATGTATAAAATTTAAGTATTGTCCTTTCCGTACGTTATCATACTTGTGTTTTGTGTGGATAAATGATGTGATTGATTTTAAAGTATTTTGTATATCTGTTTTTTAGATTTACGTTGTGCGGTATTTTGATGAGAGCTCTTGACGTTAATTGTCGATTGTAGTAATAAAGTGCAACGTATTGTTTTATAATGTGCAAGTTGTTGTTTTATAAAGTGCATCGTGCTGATATATAAAGTGCACTACTTTGCATGATCACATATAAATTATGTGTTTTTGAAATCTATATTTAATAAATATAATTGTACATCAAGTTCACTTAAATATTGAAATAATTTATTATAAAAGTATATTTACTATTATTATTTTTTTGTGTGCAAATTCAACATGAAATTGAACCGAAATATTTCAGTTATTTTGTTGGTTACAAATTTACCTAAATAATCAAACTTTTAATATTTATATTATATAAATATATTAAATATGTTAATATGTCTCTGCAATATTTTATATTATTTTTTTTTGCTAATTGATTTATTTTGTTGGTTAATCAAATTAACCTAAATAATAATTTATGATTTATATTATAAACTAGTACAGAGCCCGTGCGATGCACGGGGCGATAACGATCAATTATATAAATTATAGAAGAATATTTATAAACATAAAAATATAATATAATAATAATTTGCTTTTTTATAATTTTCTTTATTTTTAATGATATGTAATAATTTAAAATTTAAAAAAGTCCATATAAGTATTGTTCAAAGTTTTTGTTCACATAGATATAAAAATTTTAACATTTTCACATCTAATAAATGCGTAAAATTCCTATTAAATCTCGTTCTTACTAATACCTTATTAGCATAAGATAAGTAGACTTAAAGTTAGAAAATTGTGGTTAGAATTAAAATAATATTTATTTTGTACATAAATTAAGCCTCTAAAATAATTTAATATAAAGCGGGTGTAATATTATTTATTTCAAAGTTATAAATCTTAATGATTTTCAATTTAAGACACTCGATAAATTATTAATTAGTGAAAATTTTCCAATTTATAGTAATATATGTTAATTATGCTTGAAATAAATATTTACTTAAATTTTATATATTTTAGCATAATTTTTTTTTAACATGTGTAGTCAAATATATTAAAATATTATTTTATGCTCAATAAATGTATTTAGCATTTACATAGTCATTAGTGTGTGATTATAAGTCTATCAATTCTAGTAATTTAAAACGTTATTTTTGAAATATCAATTTCAGAAATATATATTTTTAGTTAATAATGCTTTTTGGGTTTTTGTGTAAATGAAATTGACTATGAATTTGGAAAGAATATATATAAATTTATAAATCTAGTGAAAATATTTCTTAAATCATATATCCGATCCCAAGTTTCTAGAATTTTATTATGAGAAACCATATCTTATTTTTGAAACAAATCAAGAAAAAAAAATCATATTTAAGAGACTAATGTCTATGAGATGCCACCAATTAACTATGAAATAAGATGCTATAAAACAACTGACGAAAACTATACGTATAGAATTTTCTTTAGGTTTATCTTTATTTATCCACGAACAAATCAAACAAAATGTAATGTTTCATTCATCAACAACCTATCACAAAATTACTGTCACAAATATCTTGCATTCGTCAAAGATATCATGCCAAAAAAATGTATGATATCTATATAAGTTTAAAAGTTCAAAAACATTTAGATGTCCAAAAAAGACGTTCAAAAAATTCCGGAATTGATATCTTGATATCATGCCAAGTTATAATAAAATGAAGGGAGTAATTTTTCAAAAATTAACTTGGCAAATTTAAAACTAATAATATTGAAAAGATAAAAAAGGATAACAAATTTCCTTTGTTAAGAACTTTATCTTTTGGATTAAGTTTTTTTAAATACTATTTTTTAGCTTATGCTTAATACATTTTTATATTAATAGATATATAGACATTTCAACTTCAAAATATCCCTTAATTCAAAATTAATACTCTTTTAGTGATTCAATATTAATATATCTTTATCATCCTCGTATTATGTGGATTTATTCAATATTAAATTGTCTTTATTCATATTTATGTTATGTCGATTTGTATCAACATGATTTTCTAGAAATGTAAATTTTTTGGAAAGGTATTATTTTAGATTTTCATATCTTAAAAAAAATGGTCAATGTAAGGAAAAAATTCTCTGAAACCAAAATGATTTTTGTTACAAAAGTGTAGTTTGTAGAAATGATATGTTAAACGGGTTTGGTTGATATCTCATGGATATTTGTTGCAAGTATTTTCTTCCTTGCGAAAGATAATTCGAGTTAATATGTTATGACTTATGACAGATTGTCCCAGTTAAAATATGATGTATATAACGTTTTTCTTAATTAAAAAAAAATGATATAAGCTGATTTGTTTTAACACAACCAAATGAAGAAAACCAACCAAAAAAAGTGCATAGCATTGCAAGAACACTGCTTGCCCGTCTGGTCCCTCAGTACATGAGCAGCCCTTCTATACTCCCTGCAGTCAAAGTAAGACTTTTCCAGCAGATAAAAATCGCCATCCATCATATCTTTATCGCACTCCTGGGGCCCACAGTCTCAGCATTTGCTCCTCGCCTGTCGCAAGCCGCCGTCAGAAAACTGAGCAGCTTCTTGCCGGCTGGGAGAAAAGGAAAAGGAAAACGTGATTTTTTTTTAAAAGATAATGAAGAGTTTTGTTAGTAATGTAATTATATAGATGTTAAGATAAGTTGGAATATATATCCAAAAAAAATCTCCATATTTGTTACCTAAAAATTGGGATTCCTAGGATTTCATAGTTGGGAAAGAAAATCTGGCTAAATTGTTTATACTTGAATGATTCCAGTATTCTATTTTAGTGTTTTTTGCGTGATTCTGTTTTAGAATGATTTAAAATAAAAAGAAATTAAAAAGTAAATTATTTTTGGATTTTTTTAATTGGTTTCCACAAATGGGAAGTCACTGGTGTTGTTGACCAGTTTTTTAAAAGTTTCCACAAATGATTTATTGACCTCTCTTTTTCAATATATATAGATACCTAAAATGTATATAAATAAATATATATTTATAACAAAATAATTTTTTTTTTATATAGTTCGATCGGTTTAGTTATATTAAACAATAAAGTGGACATAACACCAAGATAACCAAAATTTTAAAAGTAAACACAAATAATAGAAGCAAAACATACAGTTCGAACCAAAAACTTTGTGTGTCCGTTTTGACCGCTATAGTGCAATCTGATAGTTACCAATGTGCAATTCGTGTAACATTAATGTGCACTTGAAGCGCAACTCTTTGTATAAAAATAAATTTAATATTTTTATATTTTATACTATTTGTGGTTGAAAAAATATGATATATAGATATGTATAAAAGAATAAAAACATATATAAAAATAATACCTTTTATATATTTTATATAAATTATAAATTTAACCCATGGGCTAAATCGAACTATATCAAAACTCTTGAAATTTTAGTTAAATTATAAATTTTACCCTAAGAACTAAATTGTTATTAAATAAAATTAATGATATTGCAATTGAAACCCTTGATACTTATCAATTCGAAATGAAAATCCCAGATCTTTTCGATAGCTCCGTCTCCTTCCCAAAATCTCGCTAGCCACAGACGAGTTGCACAATCTTCTCAGAAAATTGTTGATTTTGTATTCATTGAATTTTGGCTGTTATCTTTTTGTTCTTGCCGGAATTATCCGAGGTCAACGGCGGCGCTGGTGTGTTTCTCTGTGGGCGGCTGAATTTCGGCCTACAGAGGCAGAGGGCGGCGTTGATTGGAGCAGTAACTGGAGTTTTAGAGGCGACGGGTGGAGGAGAAGACTCGGTTTCTAGCGGCGACTTTGATTGGAGAGGGTAAGGGACAAGATGTTATTTTCTGGCTGACAGAGTGGCCTCTGACGAGCACCGTATGCGGCGATGAAGTTGCGGCCGCTGGAGAAGTCGGGGAATGGTGGAGCTGGGTTAGGTTGGATGGCGGTCGACGGTGTTGGATGGTACTGTGTGTATTTGTGTCTCTATGTGCAGGGAGAGAGGGCGGAGTTGGGGAGGTTCGGTTGGAACTTCAGTCGTGCTCGTCGCGGTGGGTTGCGGAGGTGGTCGGCCGGACAGTGAAGACGGTGATTGTCGGTGGTTGGATGAGTGCGGCGGCGGTAGGTGGCTGTGTAGGTGGTGACCGACGGAGAGGATGGGTTGTGCCTTTGTGTGTGTAAAGTGCGTATAAATTATGTGTGTGTGGGGGGGGAGGGGGTCGTGTGTTTGTGTGTGTGCGCCGGTGGCCGGTGTAGTGTGTGTGAGTGTGCGTGTGCAGGTCGCCAGTGTAGTGTGTGTGAGTGTGTGCGTAGGGTAGTATGTGTGAGTGTGTGTGTGAGAGAGAGAGATGGAGAATGTGTGGTATTGTCACGTGTCTATGCGTGTGCGTGTGACAGAGCTGGGTGGTGGTGTTGGGTTGTATAGTGAGGTTTGACAAAATGTCTAAAATATCCTTAATGGAGATATAATATTGGTTTTTTATTTAACCATTAGATCATCCGATCTAATGGCTCCAATTTATTCTCATTTCTTTCATTGAGAACCATTCTCACCGGAGCACGACCCTATATATATATATATAGGGATTGGTTTCAATGCATCCACTTATTTAAAGTGAGGACGTGAGACTCATTTTTAGTCACAAGATTTGGTACATCATGTGTGGCCAAGATTTACTCTTTTCTTTTTATTATTTTAATTATTTAAATATTATTTTGACCCGTTGACTTCGGTGTTGACTGTTGACTTCCGGCGTTGACCGTTGACTTCTGGCGTTAACGTCTGGCGAAATCTGTTGACTTCCGGCGTTGGCCGTTGACTTCCATAGTTGACCATTGACAACTAACCTTCCAACTAGGTTAGTTCTCTGTAGTTGCTAGGTTAGTTCTCTAGTTGCTAAGTTTTTTTTCTTTTTTTTTTTTAAAAAAAAACGCCCCGGAAGGGCGGGGGATTGGGCAGGATCCCCAACCTGTACATAGATTAAGACCCGAAAACTGGGGCCCAAAGTGTCAACATAGTCTCACAATCAAGACAGAAACGAAAAATGAAAATAAAAATAGTACAAGATCTGTCATCGGGCTAACAGGTGCCCGGAATAAATGGATGGTCTAAGTAGAACAAAACCAGAAAACCTAATCTATTGGAATCGAAACGATGGATATCCCAGCTGATCCATCCGAACTAGCGTGCGAAGGCGGAGTGGAGCAATGTAGGTCTGATATGTGTGCGTGTCTAGCATGGTAGCGCCAAGGCTGGCAAGGTAATCAGCAGGTCCGTTCCCCTCACAGAAGATGTGTGTGATCCTGTAATGGACAGACCGAAGTAGATCTCTAATGCGCATAAGCGGGTGCTGAATCTGCCACGAGCCCTGATGACCCGAGGCCAGGAGGGTGACGACAGCCGCAGAGTCCAGCTCAATCCAAATATGACAAGAGAGGTCGGCAGCAATCCGAAGGCCAATCTGTAATGCCTGAAGGGATGTGTGGAAGGCGGTGATAAGAGCTCCATTATGGTCCCGGATCAAGCCTCCTCCTCCGGCAGTACCACTATGGCAATCAAAAGATCCATCGGTGTTCAGCTTGACCCAAGGAGAGTCGGGTCGAAGCCAAACAACAGCTCTAGGCTGAGGGGACCGAACAGGCAGAGGGGGAGCCACTCTGTAGCGATGTGGTGGCGTGCAGCCTGTCCAGTCACGTGCAGAAAGCCCACCCAATGCTGTGAGGAGTGAAATGTGTCTCTCCACCTGCAAAACAATGTGAGAAAGCAAGAAAGTAATATCCATATGCTTCGCACTATTCCTTTCCGTCCAGGTGAACCAAAGGATCAGACAAGGAATGAGGAAGCTCACGTGTCTAAAGTGTGTGCTCTGTGAGAAAAAACTCAGGAGCTCAAAAAAACTGTCTGTGGAGGGTAGGGATATATGTGTCCAAGTAGCAAAATGCTCCCACACTCTCCTCACAATCTCACTCTCTAGAAAAAGGTGGGTAAAGCTCTCGGTCTCATGATGCCCGGTCTCAGAACAACACACACATCGGGAGGGGAAAGAGATCCCCCTCGCATGTAACACAGTGTCCACGGGTATCCAGCGCAAGAGGAGGCGCCAAAGGAAAACAGATATGGTAGGGGTGAAAAGGTCGCTCCAGATGGCTCCGAAGAGAAGATTCGGCCGATCTCTCAGCCTGATCTGCTCCCAAGCCGAGGTAGTAGAAAACACACCCGATGATGTAAGTCTCCACCTCATACCATCCGAACCGTCCCCCGAGATGGGTATCTGCTGGATCCTATCTAATAACTGCTCACTAAAACCCGCCCCGAAGCCCAACTCTCTATCAAGCTTCCCCCTATCCCATGACCCGTCCGTCCAAAGGTCGCGCACAAGTAGGTAGGGGGAATGCGACACCTGTCTATCTCTAGACAACGGCCTATCACCTAACCACCACTCATCCCAGAAACTAACCTCACCATCCCCCAAAACCCAAAAAATGTGATCCTGGGCACGCCTACCAACCCTAGTAAGACGCCGCCACTGTCTGCTATCATGCGCAACCGCCGTCACCTAACAAGGGTGGTTGGCGCATCTAGAGCAGTACTTGCCGCGAAGGTACTGGGCCCAAAGCGACTTTCCTTCCCTGAAGCGCCACCACAACTTGTATGAGAAGGCAGTAACAATATCCCTAAGGCGACGGATGCCAAGGCCACCCTCAGGGAGAGGGCGGCAGATAGAGTCCCAACTCACCCAGTGGGTACGTCTCCCCCTCCCCAAACCATCCTCGTAACCCCAGAAATAACGAGCCATGATCTGGTCAATCTCGTCAAGGGTGGACCTAGGGGGGTCGAGGACCATAAGTAAATGAAGCGGAAGGGAGCTAAGGGTGCTCTTGATCAGAGCAAGCCGACTACCGAACGAAAGATGTCTATGCGACCAACCAGAAATCCTATCGATAATCCTCTGCCTGATGCCCGCAAAGAGCGCTTTCGTGAGGTTGCCCTTATATAAAGGGGCACCAAGGTATGTAATGGGAAGGTCGCCGTGCGCAAAGCCAGTGATCTCGTGGACTCGCTGAGCCCACCTGTCTGCGCTGGAGAAGGAAAGGGTGAAGGTGCTCTTCTGCACACTGATCAGCTGGCCAGTAACCAAGCTATAATGCTCCAGAAGGTGCATAAGCTCGATCAGCCCATCATCATCCGCACGAGTGAAGATGATGATGTCATCCTCATAAGAAAGGTGTGAGACGGGGGGACCATAGCCACGGGTGCTATATGTCATCTTAGGATAGTCGCGGATAAAGCTGTCGAGGCAGCGGGAGAGGTAGTCCGCCGCAAGAACAAAAAGGGACGGGGAAAGGGGGTCTCCCCGTCTAAGGCCTCTAGATGCGGGAAAAAAATCTGTGGGGCTGCCATTAACCAAGACCGAGAATGTGCAATGCTCCACACAGGCCTCTACAAAGCTGATCCAATGCTCCGGGAATCCCATCCTAGCCAGTGCCTCCCTAAGAAACAGCCACTCCACTCTATCATACGCCTTAGCCATATCTAGCTTCAGCGCAATGTTCGGTGCCCGCTTTCAGTCTGCATGGGAGATATCGTGGATCATCTCCTGGGCTAAAAGTATGTTATCACTAATGACCCAATCCTTGACGAAGCCACTCTGGTTCGGAGAGATGAGGGAGGGGAGAATAGGGGAAAGACGGCTGTTAAGAATTTTCGAAATAAGCTTATTTGTCACGTTACACAGGCTAATGGGCCTGTAGTCGGACCAAGAGCTCGGGTTAGGTCTTTTGGGAATCAAGACGACAGAGGTAGCCGTGAAGGAATCCGACATCCAGTGACCGGTGAAGAAATCCAATACCGCCTCTTCAACATCAGGCTCGACTATATCCCAGCAGACCTGATAGAAGAGGGAAGAGAATCCATCGGGGCCAGAAACGCTGTTGGGATCAATCCCAAAAATAGCATCCCTAACCTCCTCCCTGTTCGGGAGCTCACAGAGGTCGACAAGGTCAACCGAAGGAGGGATGGTAGGGAAGAAAGAGACGGTCGGGGCAACGAGGGACCCTCTGTCAGAGGTGAAGAGGGTCTGGAAGTGAGTAACAGCTGACTCCCGAATCTGAGACTCCTGGGTCAGGGATGACCCATTTGCCTCAATACTATGGATGTACGACTTAGCACGCTTCTGCCTAACGGAGCCCTGGAAGAACCTAGTGTTCCGTTCGCCCTCTGCCACCCAGCGAACGGCTGCCTTCTACTTCCAGAAATCCTCCTCCATAAGGAGTCGGAGCTGGTACTCGGCGTGGCAGCGGTGCATCGCAGTCCTATTCTCCGGAGTGGGATCCAGGTCATAGGCCCGCTCAGCATTCGCGTGCGCACTCTGAGCCGCAGAAAGGCGCTGATGGAGGTTTCCAAAAACATCCCAGTTCCACTGTCTCAACCTACTCTGTAATCTGCCGAGCTTAGCTTCGAGATTCCGCATCCCGAAGAGCCCAGTCGGTTGAAGCAAGGAATCTCTGACAGTGTCATGGAAAGAGTGGTGGCGAACCCACATGTTCTGGAACCTAAAGAAAGCGCGTCGGGGAGTGCTCGAGAAGCGACACCTAATGAGGAGTGGTGAATGGTCAGACCCAAATCGAGTGAGATGCGTGACGGTCGTGACCGCAAACACCTTCGACCACGCTTCAGAGACCAAAGCACGGTCGAGCCTCTCTTTGAGGTCGTCCCTAACCCACGTGAAGGGCTCACCCTCACATCCAGCATCTATCAACTCACATTCCGCCACAGTCTGAGCAAAGTCCCACATCTCCCGGGACCGGTCCGTGCGGCCACCCACACGCTCATCGGGGTGCAGAAAGATGTTGAAATCATCACTAACCATCCATGGCAATCCCTCCATACTCTCAGCAATCTCACGCAGGGTGTCTCATAGATCGTATCGCCCTACTCTATTACACTTGGCGTAAACCAAAGTGTGAAATATGTGCTCAGGGAGATGGGCGGCAGAAAGCTCGACATGAAGCACCTGATCGGTGTCCCAGAGGACCCGACAAGTGTAGTCACGCGAGTGGAAGAAGAAGATCTTATGAGAAATGTTACCCACGCCCGAATGGAAACCAAGACGATGTGAGAGATAGTCAAAGTCAGGGGTGCGAATCATCGGCTCAATAAAGCCGACAAAATCCAATCTATGATCACGAACGAGAGAGCGTAGGTGAGCGAGAGTGGCCCTATTAGCCAATCCCCGTCCATTCCAAGTAATGGATGTGATAGACATATCAGCAGTCAGAGGAGCCACCGGACGGGGTCCGCCTATGGCGAGGCTGAGTCAGACCACCTGAGGGAGGGGGTAGGTGGCGAGAGGATCGACGAAGAACTGGAGAGACAGTCCGCCTCGTCATGCGCGGTGTGGGTATGGTATTCGAGGGAGAACGCCCTCGGAAAGCACTCGTGGCCTGCGAATCGTCAGGCTGAGCAGTCTGACCAAGACTGACACTAGGTGCCTGCCCTATGTCCGAGCATGCCTCCTGTCTGTCATGGTGCACGAAAGCACTGGAGGCAAAACTCTCACACGAGACTTCGTGCTGAGCGCGGTTAAGACCGCATGCCTGCTCAGAGAGGGTAGGGGAAGAGATTCCATCCGGCAGGGCACTCGGGTGCTCGCCGTCAGAATGTGTCTGGAGAGCTATAGGCTCAGTCGAAGTCTCAATCTCCGCAGAGAGGTGGTGAGCCTGCAATTCCCCTTTCAAGGAAGCAGTGGAAGGAGCTATCCTCATCTTCAGAGAGCTATCCTGGCTATGTGGGAGGACAGACAAAGGAACAGCATCACGAATACTGTCATGAGATAAATGGGTGGTCGGGTCTGTGGACGAAGTGGCCGGCTGCTCTAGATCATCTACTAGGAGGTCATCGTCCTCTAAAAGGACAAGATCGGAGAGACCGTGTGGGTCCCTAGAATAAGGCTCAGCCTCCTCCTTTGACTCAGGGGAGAGGGGAGCAAAGAACGAGTGTTTGGCCTTGAAGGCCGACTGAAGTGTCTCTCTGGGAATGAAGCCCGTAGCCTTGGCCTTGGGCCCAACTATGATCAATCGGTCTGACTGGTCAGGATGAGCATCCTTCCGAATTTGGGCAGTGGCGTCCATCTTTGCCTTGCCCTTATCCGTGCCCCCCTTTGGGGACCCGGGTGTCTGGAGAGGGCCTTTGCCCTTTCCCTTCGGTTCCCTCCGGCTGTTAGAGTGTCCCGGCTGGGCTGTACGACGGCGCTGAGGAGGAGCGGATCGTGGCTTATTGCCACTGATATAGCAGTCTGCCGCTATATGACCAACATGACTGCACGCGGAATAGAAGGCGGGGATCTTCTCGTAGATCACCCGCTGAGCAAAGGTCTCCGAACCCTGCTCAATCTCAATCTCGTGTATAGGCTCCACTCTAAGATCAATCTCGACACAGAACTGTGCCATATTAGCCCTGGACTGGAGAGCAGTCGGGGCATCAATGCGGACCGGTTTTCTGACACACTTAGCAAGTGTGGTGATGGAATCCCGGTCATACAGATGTGGTGGAAGGCCGGGGAGGCGGCACCACACGGGGACGACCGGCGTCTCCGTCTTCGGGTTGAACCCGAAAGTGTACTTGAATACCCTAGTTGGGCATCCACTCACAGAAATAGAAGTCCTAAGCCATGCCTCATTATAATCTTCGGAGAGATTAAAAGAGACTAAAAGATGATTGAAGTTATACCACTTAAAGGAGAACCTACCCTTAAAACCCAATTTTCCTAATCCAGCAGCTAGGTCTCGGGGGGGAGGGATAGCATAGGTGAACTTAAAGACTCGTGTGTTTCCTAACTTACCAGCGAGGGTGTCAGCTTCGGCCTGTGAGAATCGGGCCTTCACTTTGTTTACCTCTGAGCGGATGATGGTCCCGCAAGCGTGGTCATAATCCCCGTCAAAGGCGAAATCCTTGGCCGTTGGGCGCGAGCCGCCCTCTCTCCTCCCCGTAATAGCCTCCCGGAAGGAGAGTGGACCCGTGGAGGTGCCCTGGAGGGGCCCGGCAACAGCTGGGTTGGCTGCGGTGGTTCCCGTCAGCGGTGTCGGGGGATGGCCGGAAATGTTGGTCACGGCCGTTGTGTCTGGTTCTGCCGCAACCACTCCATCTTCCCGCACATACAAGACGACCTGGTCGGAGGTCGGAACCGTCGATGAGTGGACAGTCCGGGGTGCTACGGTGTTTGAATGGGGAGGGCCCGCCGGGGCTTGGACCGCTTGGTGAGCTCCCGTGAGGGTGGCTGAGGTACCGGGAGTCAAGATGGTGAAATTTGCCGGTAAAGAGGGACCGGGACCAAGTATCCCTGCCGCCGGTGAGGGGCCGCCGGCGTGGGTAAAGCTGCTGGGAACGTTGCCGGCGGACTGGCCGGACGGCGGTGGAGGAGCGCCGGTGAGAGGCACAAGAGCTGCGGTGGATTGATGGTTTGTGGTGGCTCGATTAGTTCTCTGTAGTTGCTAGATTAGTAGTTGCTAAGTTAGTTCTCTCTAGTCGCTAGGTTAGTTCTCTGTAGTTGCAAGGTTAGTTCTCTGTAGTTCTATCTAGTTGCTAAGTTAGTTCTCTGTAGTTGCTAGTTTTTTTTTTTTTTTTAACAAACAACTCCCCGGAAGGGCGGGGGATTAGGCTGGGTCCCCAACCTGTGCATAGATCAGGACCCCAAAGTCGGGGCCCAAAATATCAACGATCAAGATACAATAGTCTACATCGTTCACAAAACAAAATCAAAAACCAAAAACAAAAAAAGAACCGAAAAACGAAAAAGAAATAGAAACTACAATACATATTTGATCTTCGGGCTAACAGATCCCCGAAATAAATGTCAAGACTAATGAAAGTAATAATCCTAAACTAGTGAAAGCGGAATGCAGGATATCCAAGCTGGTCCATCCGTACAAGGGTGCGAAGGCGGAGTGGAGCAGTGTCGGTCTGGAATGTATGTGTGTCTGGTATGGTGGCGCCAAGGCTGGCAAGATAGTCGGCGGGTCTATTCCCCTCACGGAAAATGTGCGTGATCCTATGATGGACAGACCGGAGTAGATCTCTAATACGCATAAGCGTGTGCTGAATCTGCCACGAGCCCTGATGACCCAAGGCCAGGAGGGTGACGACAGCCGCAGCGTCCAGCTCAATCCAAATATGACTAGAGAGGTCGGCAGCAATCTGAAGGCCAATCTGTAAAGCCTGAATCTCTGCATCGTAGCTCGAGGATGCCTGAAGGGACGTGTGGAATGCAGTGATAAGAGCTCCACTATGGTCCCAGATCAAACCTCCTCCTCAGGCAGTACCACTATGGCGATCGAAGGATCCATCGGTGTTCAGCTTAACCCAAGGAGAGTCGGGTCGAAGCCAAACGACAGCTCTGGCCCGAGGGGGCCGAACAGGGGAGGGGGGAGCCACCCTGTAGCGGTGCGGTGGCGTGCAGCCTGTCCAGTCACGTGCAGAAAGCCTGCCCAATGCTGTGAGGAGCGAAACGTGTCTCTCCACCTTCAAAACAATGTGAGAAGGCAAGAAAGTAATATCCCTATGCTTAGCACTGTTCCCTTCCGTCCAGGTGAACCAAAGGATCAGACAAGGAATGAGGAAGCTCACGTGTCTAAAGTGTGTGCTCTGTGAGAAAAAACTCAGGAGCTCAAAGAAACTGTCTGTGGAGGGTAGGGATATATGAGTCCAAGTAGCAAAATGCTCCCACACTCTCCTCACAATCTCACTCTCTAGAAAAAGGTGGGTAAAGGTCTCGGTCTCATGACGTCCGGTCTCAGAACAACACACACATCGGGAGGGGAAGGAGATCCCGCTCGCATGTAACACAGTGTCCACGGGTATCCGGCGCAAGAGGAGGCACCAAAGGAAAACAGATATTGTAGGGGTGAAAAGGTCTCGCTCCAGATAGCTCCGAAGAGAAGATTCGGCCGATCTCTCAGCCTGATCTGCTCCGAAGCCGAGGTAGTAGAAAACACACCCGATGATGTAAGTCTCCAGCTCATAACCACCACTCATCCCAGAAACTAACCTCGCCAACTCCCAAAACCCAAAAAATGTGATCCTGGGCGCGCCTACCAACTCTAGTAAGACGCCGCCACTGTCTTCTATCATGCGCAATCGCCGTTACCCAACAAGGGTGGTTGGCGCGTCTAGAGCAGTAATTGCCGCGAAGGTACTGGGCCCAAAGCGACTTTCCTTCCCTGAAGCGCCACCACAACTTGTATGAGAAGGCAGTAACAATATCCCTAAGGCGACGGATGCCAAGGCCACGCTCAAGGAGAGGGCGGCAGACAGAGTCCCAACTCACCCCGTGGGTACGTCTCCCCCTCCCCGAACCATCCTCGTAACCCCAAAAATAACGAGCTATGATCTGGTCACTCTGTAGTTGCTAGGTTAGTTCTCTCTGGTCGCTAGGTTAGTTCTCTCTGGTCACTAGGTTTTAACAAAAACGCCCCGGAAGGACGAGAAATTGGGCTGGATCCCCAACCTGTACATAGATCAAGACCCGAAAACTGGGGCCCAAAGTGTCAACAAACTAAAATGTACAAAGTCTCCGAAGCAAAACAAACCAAAAACAACAAAAGAAAACCAAAAGGAAAAAATAATACAAAGTCTGTCCACGGGCTAATAGGTGCCCGGAAGTAAGATCCAATATAATGAGAGCAAAAACCTAATCTACTAAAATCAGAACGATGGATATCCAAGCTGGTCCATCCGAACAAGCGTGCGTAGGCGGAGTGGAGCAGTGTCGGTCTGAAATGTATGTGTGTCTGGTATGGTGGCGCCAAGGCTGGCAAGATAGTCTGCAGGTCTGTTCCCCTCGCGGAAAATGTGCGTGATCCTGTGATGGACAGACCGGAGTAGGTCTCTAATACGCATAAGCGGGTGCTGAATCTGCCACGAGCCCTGGTGGCCCGAGGTCAAAAGGGTGGCGACAGCCGCAGCGTCTAGCTCGATCCAAATGTGGCTAGAGAGGTGAACAACAATCTGAAGGCCGATCTGTAATGCCTGAATCTATGCATCGTAGCTCGAGGAGGCCTGAAGGGGCGCGTGGAAGGCGGTGATGAGGGCGCCGCTGTGGTCCAGGATCAAGCCTCCTCCTCCAGCAACTCCAGTGTGACGATCAAAGGAGCCATCAGTGTTCAGCTTGGCCCACGAAGAGTCAGGTCAAAGCCAAATAATAGCTCTGGCCCGAGGAGGCCGAACAGGCGGTGGGGGAGCCACCATGTAGCAGTGTGGCGGCGTGCAACCTGTCCAATCTCTGGTCGTGAGCCTGCCCAATGCTATGAGGAGTGAGATGTGTCTCTCTACCTGCAAAACAATGTGAGAAAGCAAGAAAGTAATATCCCTATGCTTCGCACTATTCATCTCTGTCCAGGTGAACCAAAGGATCAGACAAGGAATGAGAAAGCCCACATGTGTAAAGTGCGTGCTCTGTGAAAAATAACTCAGGAGCTCAAAGAAACTGTCTGTGGTGGGTAGGGATATATGTGTCCAAGTGGCAAAATGCTCCCACACTCTCCTCACAATCTCACCCTCTAGAAAAAGGTGGGTAAAGGTCTCGGTCTCATGGCGTCCAGTCTCAGAACAACACACACACCGAGAGGGGAAGGAGATCCTCCTCGCGTGTAACACATTATCCACGGGTATCCGGCGCAAGAGGAGGCGCCAAAGGAACACCGAAATGGTAGGGGTGAAAAGGTCGCTCCAGATGGCCCCGAAAAGAAGATTAGGCCGATCTCTCAGCCTGATCTGCTCCCAAGCCGAGGTAGTAGAAAACACACCCGATGATGTAAGTCTCCACTTCATGCCATCCGAACCGTCCCCCGAGATAGGGATCTGATCTAATAAATGCTCGCTAAAACCCGCCCCAGAGCCCAACTCCATATCTAGCTTCCCCCTATCCCATGACCCGTCCATCCAAAGGTCGCTCACAAGCAGGTAGGGAGAATGCGACACCTGCCTATCCCTAGACAACGGCCTATCACCTACCCACCACTCATCCTAGAAACTGACCCAGCCCTCGCCCAAAACCCAGAAGATGTGATCCTGGGCCCGCCTACCGACCCTAGTGAGGCGCCGCCACTGTCTGCTATCATGATCAACAGCCGTGACCCAACAAGGGTGGTTGGCACGTCTAGGGCAGTACTTTCCGCGAAGGTACTGAGCCCAAAGCGACTTTCCCTCCCTGAAGCGCCACCACAGCTTGTAGGAGAAAGCTGTAACAATGTCCCTGAGGCGGCGGATGCCAAGGCCACCCTCGGGGAGGGGGCGGCAGATAGAGTCCCAACTCACCCAGTGGGTACGTCTCCCCCTCCTAGAACCGTCCTCGTAACCCCAGAAATAACAAGCCATAATCTGGTCAATCTCGTCAAGAATAGACCTAGGGGGTCGAGGACCATAAGCAAGTGAGTCGGAAGAGAGCTAAGAGTGCTCTTGATCAGCGCAAGCCGACCACCGAAAGAATGATGTCTATGCGACCAACCAGATATCCTGTCGATAATCCTCTGTCTGACGCCCGCAAAGAGCGATCGCCACGCGCAAAGCCAGTAATGTCATGGACCCGCTGAGCCCACCTGTCCACGGTGGAAGATGAGAGGATGAAGGTGCTCTTCTGCACACTGACCAGCTGACCGGTGATCGAGCCATAGTGCTCCAAAAGGCGCATAAGCTCGACCAGTCCATCATCATCCACCCGGGTGAAGATGATGATGTCATCCGCATAAGAGAGGTGAGAGATGGGAGGACCATAGCCACGGGTGCTATTGATCATATGAGAGAGTTTCGAATGAAGCCGTCAAGGCAGCGAGAGAGGTAGTCCGCCGCAAGAACGAAGAGGGAAGGGGAAAGGGGGTCGCCCTGTCTAAGGCCTCTAGAGGAGGGAAAGAAATCGGTGGGGCTGCCATTAACCAGGACCAAGAACGTGCAGTGCTCCACACACGCCTCCACAAAGTTGATCCAACGCTCAAGAAATCCCATCCTAGTCAGAGCCTCCCTAAGAAACGGCCACTCAACCCTATCATACGCCTTAGCCATGTCTAGCTTCAGCGCGATATTTGGAGCCCGCTTCCAGTCCGCACGAGAGATGTCGTGGATCATCTCCTGGGCTAGAAGGATGTTATCACTAATGACCCGATCCTTGACGAAGCCACTCTGGTTAGGAGAGATGAGGGAGGGGAGAAGGGGTGAAAGGCGACTATTAAGAATCTTCGAAATGAGCTTGTTGGTCACGTTACATAGGCCAATGGGTCTGTAATCGGACCAAGAGCTCGGGTTGGGTCTTTTGGGGATCAAGACGACAGAGGTAGACATGAAGGAATCCGACATCCAGTGATCGGAGAAAAAATACAACATTCCTTCCTCGACGTCAGTCTCGATTAAATCCCAACAGACCTGGTAGAAGAGAGGGGAGAAACCATCCGGGCCAGAAACGCTGTTGGGATCAATCTCGAAGACAGCATCCCTAACCTCCTTCCTACTCGGAAGCTCACAGAGTCCAATGATATCTACCGAAGGAGGGATGGTGGAAAAGAAAGAAGCGGTCGGGGCCACGAGGGACCCTCTGTCAGAGGTGAAGAGGGTCTGGAAGTGAGCAACAGACGACTCCCGAATCTGAGCCTCTTGGGTCAGGGATGACACATCAGTCTCGATACTATGGATGTACGACTTAACACGCTTCTGCCTAACGTAGCCCTAGAAGAACCTAGTGTTCCGCTCGCCCTCGGCCACCCAGCAAACGGCCGCCTTCTGCTTCTAGAAGTCCTCCTCCATAAGGAGTCGGAGCTGGTACTCGGCGTGGCAGCGCTGCATCGCAGTCCTATTCTCTGGAGTGGGGTCCAGGTCATAGGCCCACTCAGCCGTCGCGTGCGCACTCTGAACTGCAGAAAGGCGCTGATGAAGGTTTCCAAAAAGATCCCAGTTCCACTGTCTCAACTGACGCCGCAGTCTGCCGAGCTTTGCCTCGAGATTGCGCATCCCGAAGAGCCTAGTCGGCTGAAGCCAGGAATCCCTGACAGTGTCGTGGAAGGAGTGGTGGCGAACCCACATGTTTTGGAACCTAAAGGAAAAGCGGAGGGGGGTGCTCAAAAATCGGCACCGGATGAGAAGGGGTGAGTGGTCAAATCCAAATCGAGTAAGGTGTGTGACGGTCGTAACCGCAAACACCTTCGCCCACGCCTCAGAAACCAAGGCACGGTCGAGCCTCTCTTTGAGTCCGTCCCTCACCCACGTGAAGGGCTCACCATCACATCCAATGTCAATTAGCTCACAGTCCGCCACCGCCTGAGCAAAATCCCACATCTCCCGTGACCGGTCTGAACGGCCACCCACACGCTCATCGGGATGCAGAAAGATGTTGAAATCGCCACTAACCATCCATCGAAATTCCTCCATACTCTCGAAAATCTCACGCAGGGTGTCCTAAAGGTCATATCGCCCGACCCTAGTACACTTGGCATAAACCAAGGTGTGTAAGATGGGCTCTGGGAGGTGGGCAGCAGAAAGCTCAACGTGAAGCACCTGATCGGTGTCGCGGAGGACCCGACAAGTGTAGTCACGTGAGTGAAAGAACCAGATCTTATGCAAAATATTACCCACGCCCGAGTGGAAGCCAAGGCGACGCGAGTAGTAGTCAAAACAAGGGGTGGGAATCATCAGCTCAATAAAGCCAACAAAATCGAGTTTGTGATCACGAATGAGAGAATGAAGGTGAGACAGAGTAGCCCTATTCGCCAGACCACGACCATTCCAAGTAATGGATGTGATAGACATATCAACGGTCGCAAGAGCCACCGGACATAGTCCGCCTGTGGCGAGGCTGAGTCGGGCCACCTAGAGAAGGCATGTGGCGGAGGGATCAAATAGCAAGGGAGATCGTCCGTCGTGTCGTGCACTGGGTGGATCTGGTCCTCGTGGACTGTCTGCCTCGGTAGGAGCTCGTGGCCTGTGTGTCGTCTGGCTGGGCAGTCTGACCTATAGCAGCACTAGCAGGTTGTCCCATCTCCGGGGCTGTCTCCTGTCTGTCGTAGTGAACGAAGGCACTAGAGGCAAAGCTCTCGCACGAGACGTCATGCTGAGCGCGGTTAAGACCGCATGCCTGCTCGGGGATGGGTGAAAGAGAGGATCCAGCAGGCGGAGCACTCGGGTGCCTGCCGCCAGAAGGAGGATGGGAGCTGGCTATATGCTCAGCCGAGCTCCCAATCTCAGCAGGGAGGAGATGGGCCGACTCATACCCTTTCGGGGGAGCGGTGACGGCAGTAGCCCTCAAATCCAAAGATCGGACCAGGCTAGATACGCGCACAGTCAAAGGACCGACATCGCGCGCACTGTCATCAGATAGGTGGATGGACTCTTCCCTGGACGAGGCGTCCGGCTGGTCTATATCATCTACGAGGAGGTCGTCGTCATCCAGAAGCATAAGTTCCGCTCCTTCTCTGCCTCTGGAGAGAGACTAGCAAAATACGAATGATTGGCCTTGAAGGCCGACTGTAAGGTCTGTCTGGGGAGAAAGCCCGTGGACTTAGGCTTGGGCCCTACTATGGCCAACTGCTTAGGCTGGTTAGGATGAGCATCCTTCCCAGTTTGGGCAGTATCGACAATCACAGCCTTGCCCTTATCCTTAGACCCCTTCGGGGTCTCGGGCGTGCGGAGAGGGCTTTTGCCCTTTCCCTTCGGGTCCCTCCGATCGGTGGAGGGCTCCGGCTGAGTCGCACGGTGGCGCTGCGGAAGTGTGGGCCGTGGCTTAATGCCACTAGCGCAGCAGTCAGCCGCAATATGTCCCACATGACTGCACAAAGTGCAGAATGCGGGGATCTTCTCATAGATCACCCGCTGAATAAAGGTCTCTGAGCCATACTCAATCTCAATCTCGCGGACGGGCTCGACTCTGAGGTCTATCTCTACATAAAATTTTGCCACGTTAGCCCTTGACTGGAGGGCCGTCGGGGCGTCAATACAAATTGGTTGTCCAATACACTTAGCTAGCGTAGTAATGGCAGCACAATCGTAAAGGTGGGGTGGGAGGCCGGGAAGACGGCACCACACGGGGACAACAGGCGTCTCCGTCTTTGGCTTAAACCCGACATTATACTAGAACACCCTAGCTGGGTATCCACACAGATGAATCGAAGTCTTAAGCCAGACCTCGTTATATTCCTCGGGAAGATGAAATGTGACTAGGAGGTGATTGAAATTATACCACTTAGACGACACTCTACCCTTAAAACCCAATTTACCTAATCCAGCAGATATATCTCGGGGGGAAGAGATAGCATAAGTAAACTTAAACACCAGGGTGTTAGCTAACTTACCTGCTAGAGTGTCAGATTCGGCTTCAGTGAATCGGGCCTTCACCTTGTTTCCTCCAGGCGGATAATGGTTCCGCAAGCATGTTCGTAACCTCCATCAAAGGTAAAATCCTTGGCTATCGGTCGCGGGGCGCCCGTGCCGCCATCTCTCCTCCCCGTAATAGCCTCTCGGAAGGAAAGCAGGCCAGTGGAGGTGCCCGGAGGTGGCCCGGCTGCAGCGGGGTTGCTCGTGAAGGTGCTCGTCGGCTGAGTCCCTTTCGGGGAAGGTTAGGAAAAATGATCCACTGTCATCGGGTTTGGGCTTGCAACAGCCACGCCGTCTTCCCGCACATACAAAGTGGTCGGTTCAGGATCTCCAACAGTAAGAGTGGTTAAACCGACGGGTTGCTCGGTTGGGAAAGGTAGGTTAGGCCGTCGTCCGAGAATCCAGTCATAAGAGCCCTCTCCGTAGCCGTCCCTACCGTATTGCCAGTCTGCGGTAAAATTCCAGTGGCCGTGGCAGAGTCGGTGCCGGCGCCGGCGCCGGCGAAGGGATGGTGGCCAAAGTCTGCAGGTTGGGTCTGTTGGCAGGGGCGGCTTCAGTCTGAGATTTTGAAGCTGTGGTCGTCTTTTTGGAAATGGTGGGCTTGGAGGTTGGGTTTAAATTGGAAGTAGGCTGTGAGTTATTGGTCTGTGGTTGAGAGTGGGCTGAAGTGCGGGTAATCATGGTGGACTGAGGATGAAGGTGGGTGTTGATGGGCTGATTGTTTGTGGTGGTAGCAGGTCCAAAAAAAGGACGGCCCAATGTAGGGCTATATTGGATAATGGGTTGGGAGGTCTGTAGAGTAGTGTTGGTTTGAGGTGGGTTGTTTGTTTGTGAGGTGTGTAAAATTGTGTCGTTGGGCTGTTTGTTTGTGGTTTGCGGCTGACTGTTGGTGATGTTGTGGCCCAATTTGATATCTATTAGCTCAGGACCAAACCCTACCATTTGGCGAGGTTGTATCTTGTGAGAAGAGGGGGTAAATTCTTTACCTGTCAACAGAGGAGGAATGGCGACGGCACTCATCTTCTCCAGCGGGCCATCCTCCGGCAGCGGACTGTGCGACCCGAAGTCAGGCGACCGGCTTTCTGTTCTCAGCTCCAAGGAAGTCGTCGACCGGTTTGTTCTAATTTCGATGGGTGAATTCAGGAGCCCCTGCGAATTGATTTTACCACAAAGATGCTCGACATCTTCTACAATTTCTCCTTCTTCTAAGTTTTTGTTTTGATTTCTTCTTTTCCAATTTTGTTGAACTCGATTTTTTTGAGAAAGGCTGAGAGAGCCTCTCGAAATTCCGGCCTCGACATGAAAGTCTCCAAATTCGAAGCTAGGATGGAGGATGAGTGTCGTCTGTTTGCCGGAGTAATGACCAGAGGGGCCATGTTTGGACAAAGACTAAGATTAGAGGACTAAACTGTTAAAGCACGGGTGAAAAATAGGGTAAAAGTGACAAAGATTTTTGAAATGTATGTTTTTTGATTTTCTGGTTTTCTGTGCTGGCCGGAGCCGGCACTGGCGTGCCGAAGATCTGAGAAACTGGACAGAAAAAGTTTAATTTGGAAAGAAAAGTTGAGTTTGGGTGAAAAAATTTTAGAGAGAAGGTGGAGAAAATTTTCTAGAGAGAGAAAGAGAATTGGTGTTTTTTTCTCTGTAGTTGCTAGGTTAGTTCCTTGTAGTTGCTAGATTAGTTCCTTGTAGTTGCTAGGTTAGTTCTCTATAGTTGCTAGGTTAGTTATTTGTAGTTGCTAGGTAAGTTGTCTGTAGTTGCTAGGTTAGTTGTCTGTAGTTGCTAGGTTAGGTCTCTGTAGTTGCTCGGTTAGTTATTACTTCTTACTAGGTTAGTTGTATTTAGTTGCGAGGTTAGTTGTGTCTAGTTGCTAGGTTAGTTGTCTGATGTTGCTAGGTTTTTTTTTTTTTTTAACAAACAACGCCCCGGAAGGGCGGGGAATTGGGCTGGATCCCCAACCTGTGCATAGATCAGGGCCCCAAAAACGGGAGCCCAAAATGTCAACGAACAAGATACAAAGGCCTACATAGTCTCACAATCAAAAACAAAGACAAAAGAAAGGCAAAAAAGAAAAAAGAAAAGCGAAAAAAGCGAAAAAGAAACAAAACTACAAAACAAAGTCAATCTTCGGGCTAACAGATGCCCGAGAAAGTCTATACTAATGACAACAGAGATCCTAAACTAGTGAAAACGGAACGCTGGATATCCAAGCTGATCCATCCGTACAAGAGTGCGAAGGCGGAGTGGAGCAGCATCGGTCAGAAATGTATGTGTGTCTGGTATGGTGGCGCCAAGGCTGGCCAGGTAATCAGCCGGTCTGTTCCCCTCACGGAAGATGTGCGTGATCCTATGATGGACTGACCGAAGTAGATCTCTAATGCGCATAAGCGGATGCTGAATCTGCCATGAGCCCTGTTGACCCGAAGTCAGGAGTGTGGCGACAACCGCAGCATCCAGCTCGATCCATATATGCCTAGAGAGGTGGACAGCAATCTGAAGGCCAATCTGTAGTGCCTGAATCTCTACATCGTAGCTCGAGGAGGCCTGAATGGACGCGTGGAAGGCGGTGATGAGGGCGCCGCTATGGTCACGAATCAAGCCTCCTCCTCCGGCAAGTCCAGTGTGGCGATCAAAGGAGCCATCAGTGTTCAGCTTGACCCACAGAGAGTCAGGTCGAAGCCAAACAACAGCTCTGGCCCGAGGAGACCGAACAGCGGTGGTGAGGCCACCGTGTAGCGATGCGGTGGCGTGCAGCCTGTCCAGTCTCGGGCCGTGAGCCTGCCCAATGCGATGAGGAGTGAAATGTGTCTCTCTACCTGCAAAACAATGTGAGAAAACATAAAAGTAATATCCCTATGCTTCGCACTATTCCTTTCTGTCCAGGTGAACCAAAGGATCAGACAAGGAATGAGGAAGCCCACGTGTCTAAGGTGTGTGCTCTGTGAGAAAAAACTCAGGAGCTCAAAAAAACTGTATGTGGTGGGTATGGATATATGAGTCCAAGTGGCAAAATGCTCCCACACACTCCTCACAATCTCACTCTCTAGAAAAAGGTGGGTAAATGTCTCAGTCTCATGGCGTCCAGTCTCAGAGCAACACACACACCGAGAGGGGAAGGAGATCCCTCTCGCGTGTAGCACAGTATCGACGGGTATTCGGCGCAAGAGGAGGCGCCAAAGGAACACCGAAATAGTAGGCGTGAAAATGTCACTCCAGATAGCCCCGAAGAGGGAATTAGGCCGATCCCTCAGCCTTATCTGCTCCCAAGCCGAGGTAGTAGAAAACACACCTGATGAGGTAAGTCTCCACCTCATGCTATCTGAACCGTCCCCCGAGATAGGGATCTACAGGATCTCATCTAATAACTGCTCGCTAAAACCCGCACCAACCCCCAACTCCCTATCAAGCTTCCCCCTATCCCACAACCCCTCCGTCCAGAGGTCGCTCACGAGCAGATAGGGGGAATGCGACACCTGCCTATCCCTAGACAACGCCTATCACCTACCCACCACTCATCCCAGACACTGACATCGCCCCCGCCCAAAACCCAAAAGATGTGATCCTGGGCTCGCCTCCCAACCCTAGTGAGGCGCCGCCACTGTCTGCTGTCATGATCAACAGCCGTGACCCAACAAGAGTGGTTGGCACGTCTAAGGAAGTACTTGCCGCGAAGGTACTGAGCCCAAAGCGACTTTCCTTCCCTGAAGCGCCACCACAGCTTGTATTAGAAAGCTGTAACAATGTCCCTAAGACGGCGGATGCCAAGGCCACCCTTGGGGAGAGGGCGGCAGATAGAGTCCCAACTCACCCAGTGAGTACGTCTCCCCCTCCTAGACCCGTCCTCATAACCCCAGAAATAGCGAGCCATGATCTGGTCAAGCTCGTCAAGAGTAGACCTAGGGGGGTCGAGGACCATAAGCAAGTGAATCGGAAGAGAGCTAAGAGTGCTCTTGATCAGCGCTAGCCGACCACCGAAAGAAAGATATCTATGCGACCAACCAGAGATCCTGTCGATCATCCTCTGCCTGACGCCCGCAAAGAGCGCTCTCGTGAGGTTGCCCTTATATAAAGGGACCCCGAGGTAGGTAATGGGAAGGTCGCCACGCGCAAAGCCAGTAATGTCGTGGACCCGCTGAGCCCATCTGTCCACGGTGGTAGATGAAAGGATGAAGGTGCTTTTCTGCATACTGACCAGCTGACCGGTGACCAAGCCATAGTGCTCCAAAAGGCGCATAAGCTCGACCAGTCCATCCTCATCCGTCCGGGTGAAGATAATGATGTCATCCGCATAAGAGAGGTGAGAGATGGTAGGACCATAGCCACAGGTGCTATAGGTCATATGGGGAGAGTCGCGGAGTCTGATGTTGCTAGGTTAGTTATGTCTAGTTGCTAGGTCAGTTGTCTATTGTTACTAGGTTATTTCTATCTTGTTGCTAGGTTAGTTATGTCTAGTTGCTAGGTTAGTTGTCTGTTGTTGCTAGGTTAGTTCTATCTTGTTGCTAAATTAGTTCTAAGTAGTTGTTAGGTTTTTTTTCTCTCTTTAAAAGGAGGATTAATACTGGTTCCCCAATTCCCCTCCAGGTGACTCGAACTCGGGATGTGGGATACGCCGAGCGAGGTATGCGCCACTGCGCTCAACCCTCTTCGTCATAAGTAGTTGCTAGGTTAGTTCTAAGTAGTTGATAGGTTAGTTGTCTGTTGTTGCTAGGTTAGTTTTTTGTTGTTACTAGGTTTTTTTTTTTTTTGGTCAGTTCAATGTAGTTGCAAGGTTAGTTGTCTGATGTTGCTAGGTTAGTTGTCTGTTGTTGCTACGTTAGTTGTCTTTAATTATTCTTTCATACATGATGCATACTAAGGTCAACGGGTCAACGCCGGAAGTCAACGATTCTCGCCGATAGTTAACGCCGGAAGTCAAAAGTCAACGCTGGAGTCAACGGTCAATGACGGAGTCAACTACTAATTATTTAATTAATATATATTTTAATTGATTAACATAAATTCTTGATCTAGGCAAAATGAGTGGCTAAGATTGAGTCTCACGTCCACATTTTAAGAGGTGGACTCATTGGATCCATCCCCTATATATATATATATAGAAGTGCGCTCAAATGAGAATGAAACACAATGAAAGAAATAAGAATGATTCTGGACCATTCGATCAATCTCATCAATGATTATGATTAAGTCAAATTTTAATAAATAATGGTCAATTATTAATGGCAATATAATAAATAAGTAGTAATATTATGGTCAACTATATGTATTTTACCATTAATTAAGGATATATAAGTCATTAGACATAATACATATGGTACCCACCTACCACTAACCATATTCACGCCACCTAACCCACCCCCTACCCATCTCTCACACATTTCACACACTAAAATAATATACCCGTCTTTCACACACTGCACACACTAATCTGCTCATCTCTCACACACTGCACACACACTTCACACACACACACACACACCAGCCCGCCGGAGACTGCCGATGCCTCCGCCGGTTCCGCCGCACCATCAGTCGACCTCCGCTGGAGAGTGTCGCGATTCAAGAGATTACTCGGTAGTGCCTCCGCCGTGAATCCGAGCGTGCCTCCGCCGTGACCCCGTCCGGGCCTTCATCGTGGTTGCCGTCTCCGGCATCGTCATTCGGCTGCCACTCCGAATCTAAATGGGCGGCGATCTGCCGCGCCTGGAAAGCCGACGTCCACTGTCACCGCTCCCGTCACCTTCTCCACAGGAGACTCCGGCGAGGAGCCCTACGAGGTGGAGTCGGGGACAGATGAAGTCGACGCCGACGGCTGAGTTTGGTAGCGGCAAAATTGAGGCTGAGATTGGGCGAAATTGGGATTGAGATTTGCGAAATTGGGGCTGCGATTGAGTAACGATGAAATTGGGGCTGAGATTGGCGAAATTGTGGCTTATATTGGGTGAATCAAGGCTGAGACAGGTTGAGATTGGGGGAATCGGGGCTGAGATTGAGCTAAGGGAACAGGGGTTTAATTGTTTTGGAGCTGAACATATTTTTGGGAAATTAGATATAATTAGGGGACTATTTTGCAATTTTTTAACTTTTAATATGTGTATAGTTTACTTAAGACCAATATATAATTTAATAGAAATTAATTTATGCACAATAATGACACATGAGATGCACAATATTGTGACTGAATGTGCACTTTAAAAAATTTTGTTATATGCACATGAAATTGTTAAAAATTTGATAAAAACGTCTTTTTTTGGATAAGTGATTTTCACAATATTTTGTCTATAGATATGTGTTTTAAAAGTAAAAATAAATAATCAAAACGAAAAACAAATTTTTGAACTGAAAATTTTGACATAATCGGTTTAATTTGTTGGTTAACATAAATAACTGAAATAAATTATATTATTTATTCTAAAAACATGTTTATTCTTAATATTCTTTATTTAATATTATAATTGTGACTAAAAAATAATATATATGTAAACAAAATATAATGTGCAATCTATCAGGTATTACTGTGCAATTCGTTCACACTACGGTGCATGGTGTCGGTCGATATGCAGATTGATCTGAACGAACTTTTATTCTAAACCAAATTGAAATTGAACATAAATAATTTTTTAATCACTCCGGTTGACTGAATTATCCTAACAAACCGAAATAATTTGTTCTTTATACTAAAACTATATTTAATATGTTAATAATATTATTTATTTTTTATATTATTTTTTGGTTGAAAATATATAATATATAAAATACCAAAATCAATAAAGTGCAAGCACCCAATCACAAATGTGCATATTGTATACCATTTGTGTGCATTCTATTGATCGAATAATTTTTTTTTTATGTGCATTTCAATTTTTGGCAATTTAATAATGTGTTTTTTAATTAACATTAATTTACACTTATTATATAACTCGTGTAATTAAAATATATTTAGTAATTTGATTTTTTCATTTAATATTTTATAATATCATATTTTGAAAATAAATAATAACAATTTTCAAATAAATTAATTCCGAACGTATTATTGTGCCTTTCGTCTAACGCTGTAGTTCACTCTGATATTCAGTAATGTGCAAAATGATTAATAATATTGTGCATTAAATTTGAGNAATATATTTTAGTAATTTAATATTTTTATATATTTTCTTTATAATTATTTTTGTTAAAAATAACATAACTTATGTACATATCAAAAAATATATAAAGAATAACATTATTTTATATATGTTTCATAAATTACAGATTTTGCCTATGGGTGAAATTGAGATATATTAAAAATTCTCAAATTTGCAATTAGATCCCTGTGAAAGATCAAATTCTCAAAACAAGGCCCTCAAACTCAAATCACATTTCAGGTGTCCACGGCCAATTCGGCCGTCGTCCTTGCCGTCGCGAATCACCCATCCGAGAGAAAGGTGGCGGACGCGGCCGACCCGATGCGGTGCGATTGGAGATGAACGCCGGGAGAGAGTAACCGACGGTAAAATACGAGATTGTCCTCGAATTTCTATGGTCGGTTCAGGCGGGGCTGTCAGACTGAGGGAAGTGGACGGCGGCGGGCAGGTGCGGCTGCGCGGTGCTACCGAAGGCGGCGGAAGGGCTGTTGTAAGTGGACGGCTGCGGAACAGAGGAGCGTGTGTAGAGGCGCGGCGGCGCTGCGTCGTCGTCGGCGGCGGAATCGCTGGGAGAAGTGACGATCGGCAAATTGATGGGCTTTTGTGGAGGCACCGCGGCGCGGCTGCGGCCGCCGGACTATTGGAAGAGGGACGACGGGGTTCTTCTTCTTGGTTGAGCTCTGTATGTGTATATGTGTGTCGTGTGCGTGTGTATGTATCTGTGCGTGTGTGTGTGTTAGTGAGAGAGAGAGAGAGAGAGAGAGAGAGTGGGTGGGTGAGTTTGACCAAAGTTTACGGGGGTGGGTGAGAGGTGAGAGGATGGAGAGAGAGAGGTGTGACAGCTTGTGCGTTAATTGGGGTGGGGTCCACTGAAATGGTTTATTATTGATGTATTAAATGTCTAAAACACAGAATGTATAAATGCTGTGTTTTTTTAATCCGTTAGATCACTCAATCCGAAGGCTAAGATTTATTCTTATTTCTTTCATTGAGAACTATTCTCACCGGAGCGCATTTCCTATATATACATATATATATATATATATATATATATATATATAGAAGTGCGTTCAAATGAGAATGAATCACAATGAAAGAAATAAGAATGAATCTATACCATTGGATCGAGGACATTAATGACCATGATGAAGTCAAACATGGTCAATCATTAATGGCAAATATGTAAATAACTTGATATCTCTTTGTTGATGTCGAAAATCGGACGATCAACCGTCAAATATAATACGAACTGCTCGTATGAAAATGAAGAACAAAAATCAATTGAGAATAGGTGCCTCTTATTATTTTTGAGAGAAATCTCGTTTTTTGTTGGGAAGAAGATGAAAGAATCGGGAGAGCAACATCCAACCGCCCCTACTCTCTTAAGTGTTGTGTAGGAAGAGAATCCATCCCCCTCTCCCTTTTCTCTATCTTACATATATATGCAAGTCTACCCCCCTTTTTTGCAAGTGGGCCATTAAAACAAATAAAAGGTAGTACATTATTATTTAATGAGAGATAGTCATTGCGTGACCCGCTAATGACCCTCGACGGTTCCAACCGATGTCCGTCTCCTTGGCTTGATAGCAGTGGACTCGACATTTGGGAACCCGGTAGGTTTTTAGGTGATCCATCTCGAGAACCTGTTCGTATATGCATTTATTATTTATTTTTGGCTCCTTGGTCATTGGGCCATATTTTATTATTTAATTTATCATTTATTTAATCAGAGCCAAATTGGGTATCAACAAGAGGCCCCCGAGTTTAGGACATGTTCTGGATTGAACTGTTCTGAAGTCGCGTTTATTCTTTACAATTTGGCTATGTTTTCACCTCATAATGTCTTGAGCTTTGGGCTCTTTGTATTGTGTAAGGATATACGCGTATTGGTGAAATCGCAAATATGTTGACGAGTGCGCGTGGCAGATAATTTTCGCGTGATTCAGGAGATCACTGTTTTTATCTTGATCGAGTAACTTTGGTTACTTGGATCGTTGTTTTGTCATTTTTGGGCACTTTGGGACCCTTGCGTGTTTTGCTGATCACTTTAGGCGTTGACTTGACGTATTTATGATAATCATGCTTATGATCTTTGACGTATTGAGTCAGTTTGAGATAATGGGCAATTTTGTGAATTTGCTATTGAATGGGCCTTTGCGGCCTGGTCGGGTAATTTGATACCCGTTTTCATGAAGGAATGCATTTTGAATTGTCGACATGAGTGAGCATAGAGCTCTTTGTCCGAGTGAGCTTTGAGCTCGTTGTTCGATTGAGCTTTGAATTTTTTATTTCTTACGAGATTGTATGCATAATGCGATCATATGAGAATGCGTGAATGTATGATGAATGTATGATGAATGTATGTTATGAATGTATGATGAATGAGAGCATCTTGTCGCGTGTTTAGTTGGGCCGAACTGTTTTTGCAGTTCGGTTTTTAGTTTCAGGCACTTCGGCCTTACGGCTCGTAGGCCTTTAGTTTTACGGCATTTCGGCCTAATGGCCCGTAGGCCTTTAGTTTTATGACATTTCGGCCTAATCGGGCCCCTATAGTTAGCCCGACTTGTGCAATTTATTGCACTAATGATTACGATGGCGCATTACCCATCCGATCCGCTCGTTGGGTCGGGTGGTGGTCTGGCCTGGCCGAGTTTCACGATCGAGCTCCACACTTATTTATTACCTTTTTTACGTTGGCGAATGTCGCCTGACCAGGCTACGTGACTAAGCCCGGGTTGTGCCGGCCGGGCCATCGTACTGAACCCGACCTGCACGAATTTATTACTTGGTCGAGCCTCGTGATCGGGATCGGCGTTTATTTATTACTTTGGCGCGTTACCTGTCCGATTTGCTCATTGAATCAAGCGACGGTCTGGCCTTGCTAAGCTTCGCATTTGAGCTCGTCATTCATTTCTTACATTGGCGACTTTGGCCTTACCGGGCTACTTTGCTGAGCCCGGCTCGTGCCGGCCAGGCCATCGTACTGACCAGACCTGCACATAATTATGTGGCAGCTTACCTAACCGGTCTCGCGTTCGGACTCGGTGGTATTATTGGCCTGACCGGGCTTCCTAGTTGAGCCCGGCTAGTGCCGACTAGGTCATCGTACTGATCCTAGCCAACACTTCGTTCCTTACGTTTATTACGCCGCTTCGACGCGATCTAAGCCTAAGACGACCTAGCCTCTAAAAGCAAAAGGTAAATTACATTCTTGACCTAACTCATCGAATAACCTATACAATAACGTCACTTACTGAGTGAGAATAGCCTAGACCTATTGGTAGGACTTTTTCAGAAACGCGAGTTTTATGGGTATTGATGGACGCGTGCCATTCAAATGTTCAAGTCGGTAGGCCCCGTGTAAAAGAACCTTGTTGATTTGATATGAGAGTGGTTTGAATTGGGATTTGGCGAATCTCTCGTCTCGTCTATTACGTGCGGCGTTTCTTGAGCTCGGCTCATGGTGCTCGTCTGCGAAGTAGAGGCTTGCTCTCAGGCACTCGTCGCGCCGACAAAGTGTCGATAGGCCTGATGGAGCTAGGGCTCGTCGGCCGGAGAGATAAAGATATTAATTTGGCCGAAGCGAAGGCAAGACGGCAGTGGGAGTAACAATTACGTTGGCCCGGCAGAATAGGGGCTCGTCGGCGGACGATGTGTAGGTGTAGATGCCGACATGGCCGAAGCGCGGGTCTGGCGACGGTAGAAGTAACAACGTAGTTGGCCTGGCAGAGCAGGGGCTCGTCGGCGGGCGATGTGTAGGTGTAGATGCCGACATGGCTGAAGCGCAGGTCTGGCGACGGTAGAAGTAACAATGTAGTTGGCCTGGTAGAGCAGGGGCTCGTCGGCGGGCGACATATAGGTGCCGACCTGGCGAAGCGTAGGTCTGGCGATGGTAGAAGTAACAACGTCGGCCCGGTAGAGCAGGGGCTCGTCGCCGGACTGGATGGGGACGTCGGCCTAGCCGGAGCAAGGGCTCAACGGCGGGCAAAGTAACGACGTCAGCCCAGCAGAGCAGGGGATCGTCGCCGGACTGGATGAGGACATCGGCCTCGCCGGAGCAAGGGCTCAACGGCGGGCGAAGTAACGACGTCAGCCCAGCAGAGCAGGGGCTCGTCGCCGGACTGGATGAGGACATCGGCCTCGCCGGAGCAAGGGCTCAACGGCGGGCGAAGTAACGACGTCAGCCCGGCAGAGTAGGGGCTCGTCGCCGGACTGGATGAGGACATCGGCCTCGCCGGAGCAAGGGCTCAACGGCGGGCGAAGTAACGACGTCAGCCCAGCAGAGCAGGGGCTCGTCGCCGGACTGGATGAGGACATCGGCCTCGCCGGAGCAAGGGCTCAACGGCGGGCGAAGTAACGACGTCAGCCCGGCAGAGTAGGGGCTCGTCGCCGGACTGGATGAGGACATCGGCCTCGCCGGAGCAAGGGCTCAACGGCGGGCGAAGTAACGACGTCAGCCCGGCAGAGTAGGGGCTCGTCGCCGGACTGGATGAGGACATCGGCCTCGCCGGAGCAAGGGCTCAACGGCGGGCGAAGTAACGACGTCAGCCCGGCAGAGTAGGGGCTCGTCGCCGGACTGGATAATGACATCGGCCGGAGCAAGGGCTCTACGACGGACGATGTAACGACGTCAGCCCGGCAGAGCAGGGGCTCGTCGCCGGACTGGATAATGACATCGGTCGGAGCAAGGGCTCAACGACGGGCGATGTAACGACGTCAGCCCGGCAGAGCAGGGGCTCGTCGCCGGACTGGATAATGACATCGGCCGGAGCAAGGGCTCTACGACGGGCGATGTAACGACGTCAGCCCGGCAGAGCAGGGGCTCGTCGCCGGACTGGATAATGACATCGGCCGGAGCAAGGGCTCTACGACGGACGATGTAACGACGTCAGCCCGGCAGAGCAGGGGCTCGTCGCCGGACTGGATAATGACATCGGCCGGAGCAAGGGCTCTACGACGGACGATGTAACGACGTCAGCCCGGCAGAGCAGGGGCTCGTCGCCGGACTGGATAATGACATCGGCCGGAGCAAGGGCTCTACGACGGACGATGTAACGACGTCAGCCCGGCAGAGCAGGGGCTCGTCGCCGGACTGGATAATGACATCGGCCGGAGCAAGGGCTCTACGACGGACGATGTAACGACGTCAGCCCGGCAGAGCAGGGGCTCGTCGCCGGACTGGATAATGACATCGGCCGGAGCAAGGGCTCTACGACGGACGATGTAACGACGTCAGCCCGGCAGAGCAGGGGCTCGTCGCCGGACTGGATAATGACATCGGCCGGAGCAAGGGCTCTACGACGGACGATGTAACGACGTCAGCCCGGCAGAGCAGGGGCTCGTCGCCGGACTGGATAATGACATCGGCCGGAGCAAGGGCTCTACGACGGACGATGTAACGACGTCAGCCCGGCAGAGCAGGGGCTCGTCGCCGGACTGGATAATGACATCGGCCGGAGCAAGGGCTCTACGACGGACGATGTAACGACGTCAGCCCGGCAGAGCAGGGGCTCGTCGCCGGACTGGATAATGACATCGGCCGGAGCAAGGGCTCTACGACGGGCGATGTAACGACGTCAGCCCGGCAGAGCAGGGGCTCGTCACCAGACTAGATAATGACATCGGCTACGACGGGCGATGTAACGACGTCAGCCCGGCAGAGCAGGGGCTCGTCGCCGAACTGGATAATGACATCGGTCGGAGCAAGGGCTCTACGACGGACGATGTAACGACGTCAGCCCGGCAGAGCAGGGGCTCGTCGTCGGACTGGATAATGACATCAACCTCGCCGGAGCAAGGGCTCAACGGCGGGCGAAATAATGTCGTCACGACTCGAAGGCCTCGTGGCCTTCTAAGACTGAGAAGTGTTAGAGGAGCGGTCGTGCTTATCCCGAAGGCTTGCAGCAGACCGACTTCCTCCAATCCTTTCCGTCTCGGCTCGATTTTCACGAATGAGGTTCGGTATGTATTTTTTATTCGTGTATATGTGTATACATATGTATATCTATTATTTATTATTATCATCATATTCTTATTGTCATTATTATTATTTATATTTTTAAATGAATGTATATATGTATATATTTATGCGTTACTCAATGTATTATATGCATTATATATTATAAATATAATACATAATATATATTATAAATGTAATACATATATGATGATTAATCGGCTATAATACATGTTATGTTTATTACGTGCGGCAGTGCATTTATATTTGCGCTATACACGCACATATATTAGTTATTATTATTATTTGTATTGAAGAAGTATACTTTAAATAAAACTTACCTGGGCTTATGAAATATTGGCCCCAGAGGTATTTGGATAAGGCCCATCAACAGGTGACGGGGTGAGCTTATTACTCCGTTTTCTTTCCAGCAGTTGCGCCGTCTTCACTTTCATCGCTTCAAATCGACGAGCTCCCTCAAGTGCTGCTCGATTTTGACAAACAAAAAACGTCGACTACTCTCCCAGGCGGCAACGGCAGGTCGGCGTCCGATGTTGACGATGGGGTCCGTTTTCCGGTAGCAGCGGCGGTATCGGGATCTGAGGACGGCGCTTGCTTCCCGGCGGCGGCGGCGATTCGGCACCTACTGAGCTGGCGGCGCTGCTGTGGCGTGGGGCGACGTAGATGGCCGCGGTGTGAGGTCGGTGATTTAGGGCTGTTCGGAGTTGGCCGGCGATTGAAGGAAATTTCGGCACCAACTGCGTGGTATGGTCGGCAATTGCGATTTGGTGGATCCGGGCTGTGACGCAAGGTCGGCCCCGGCGGCTCGAGGGCGGTTTCGGCGGCGAGGTAAGCCGGGTTGCGAGGAATTAGTGTCAGCCCGTTGTTTGTTGTTGGTGGTTCAGGTTTATGTTGTGCCGTGGCTGCCTCTGTTGTGAGGTCGTCCCTTGGCTGTGGAATCACGTTCGGCCCGTGTTTTGAGGTTAGAGACCCGTTCAAGGATTTATTNTCGGCACTTTCGTTTGCGAGGTGATCCCGGCGGTAAGGTCGGCAGTTAAGATCGATGGTGAAGATGTCGACCTGGGCTATGATTCGGAAGCCCGGGCTACGATTTGGGGGCGAGTTCGACTGTAGAGTCTATCTGAGGCGACGGGGTCAGACATGCCGTCCCATACATCCCGGCAATTTGTGAGATCGGGATGGACGAGGTCACCATCGACATAGGCTTGATGGTTGGCTCGATTTTGAGACCTGCCGTTATGAATTCGGGCCTCAGCGGCTAATTCGAGGTCTGACAGCGGTGAGGTCGGCGCCGGCGGCTGAAGCGGGGGTCTCAGCCGTGAGGTCGGCACCATCGGAGGTTGGCTCGTGCAAAGTTCGGTTTTTGGTAGCCGAGCGAAGGTCTCAGCCGTGAGGTCGGCACCATCGGAGGTCGGCTCGTGCAAAGTTGGGTCTCCGGTAGCCCGGCGAAGGTCCTAGCCATGAGGTCGGCACCATCGGAGGTCGGCTCGTGCGAAGTGGGTCTCCGGTAGCCCGGCGAAGGTCCTAGCCATGAGGTCGGCACCATCGGAGGTCGGCTCGTGCGAAGTTGGGTCTCCGGTAGCCCAGCGAAGGTCCCGGTCGTGAGGTCGGCACCAGAGGAGGTCGGCTCTTGCCAAGTCTGGTCTCTGGTGGCCGAGCGGAGGTTTCGGTCGTGGAGTTGTCCGAGCTCGGCACTTGCATCGGTTGTGGGGTGCCAGTTATGTGTCGGTCGGCTCCGACGGCTTGAGGACATTCGAGCTTGGCATCCTGCCGCGGCTGTGATATCGGGTCAGCCCGGAGTCTTGTTGGCCGGCATTTGGTGTCCGTGGTTTGAAGTTCACCGTCGGTTCTGGGATTCCGTTTTTCTCTCTCTTTTTTTTTAATTACATATATTTTAATATTATTATTATATATATATATATCTGACATGATGTGATATGGACAGTAGGATAGTGATCGACATAACAGTGATAGAGACGTGGTTTTATGTGTCCAAGTGGTGCAAGTTGTCCACTTTAGTTTAGTAAAAAAAAAGAAAAGGGAAATGAAAAAGAAAAAAAAAAGGGAAAAAGCTTTGCGTGAAATTGCAGCAGCTTCAGCCTCCATTGTCCCAGTAGGGAAACCAAAGAAAAAGGATAAAATTAGAAGTTCTCGGGTGGGCTTTCTTCTCCTCGTGAAGAGCTTGAGAGCCTCAGGGCGTGAAAATAGCTTTTAATTCCCATGTCTTGAAGATTTATGATAAAAACGGAGGAAAAAGGTTTGTGATTTTTATTATTTTTATTTTTATTTTCGGGATGAACATATAATGATGTAGAGATATATATCCATGGAAAATGGGAGAAATAGATGTAGAGAAAATTAAGATGAAATCATGAAATACAAACTTGGTGGAGAATGTGTTTTCCGGTTGAGACGTGGCCGTTTTCCGGCGAAAATTGACTCCGAGCAAATTACGGAGCCCTCCTTCTAGCGCCAAACTGTTGATGTCGAAAATCGGACGATCAACCGTCAAATATAATACGAACTGCTCGTATGAAAATGAAGAACAAAAATCAATTGAGAATAGGTGCCTCTTATTATTTTTGAGAGAAATCTCGTTTTTTGTTGGGAAGAAGATGAAAGAATCGGGAGAGCAACATCCAACCGCCCCTACTCTCTTAAGTGTTGTGTAGGAAGAGAATCCATCCCCCTCTCCCTTTTCTCTATCTTACATATATATGCAAGTCTACCCCTTTTTTTGCAAGTGGGCCATTAAAACAAATAAAAGGTAGTACATTATTATTTAATGAGAGATAGTCATTGCGTGACCCGCTAATGACCCTCGACGGTTCCGACCGATGTCCGTCTCCTTGGCTTGATAGCAGTGGACTCGACATTTGGGAACCCGGTAGGTTTTTAGGTGATCCATCTCGAGAACCTGTTCGTATATGCATTTATTATTTATTTTTGGCTCCTTGGTCATTGGGCCGTATTTTATTATTTAATTTATCATTTATTTAATCAGAGCCAAATTGGGTATCAACACTCTTGATTAAAATTGAACATTTAAGGACACTTGTGTAATTTTGTATACCCACCTACTAAGTGGGGCCCACCACTATCTCCATTGACTTAACCCCTCTATCTCTCTCACGTAAACACACACACAACACACACCTACACACACTCTTCACACACACAGCATCTTAACAGGCGTCGCCGCCCGGCTACAACAGCCCCGCCGCCAGGCCATACAGCGCCACCGCCTAGCCTCACATCCCCGCCGCCCGGCCATAACAGCGTCGTCGCCTGGTTACAATAGCCCCGCCGCCCGTCCATCAAAGCTCCGTCGTCGATGATGGAGTGTCGTCGACGAGCCAGTTGGAGCTCGAGTCATGTAACTGGAGTCGCCGCGGCCGTCGTCGACGAGAAGCCGGTTGGAGCTCGAACCACGTAACTAAATGCCGATGATGATGACCCGTCGTCGACAAGAAGTCGGTCGGAGCTCGATCCCGTCGCAGTCGTATGGTGTGGAGATGTGGAGCTTGCGGTTGTTGAAGTAGTACCCGCCGGTGTGAAGGTGCTGCCGGTTTTGACTTCGCCGGAGAAGCACCAGAGGTGACGATCGACAAGCCAGGTTGGTGTATTATATGAGCTTCTATTTTCCCGGCGGTACGACGGTTGGCGGCGGGCGGGGGGCGGATGGCGGCGGGCGGAGGGCAGTGGGCGGAGGGCATGTGTGTATTTTATGTGTCTGTGTGTGTGTGTGTNTATTTTATCATTTTTTTTCTAGGTGCAGGGACTTAAGATTGAAAATTAGACATGCTTTAGGGACCTTGTTGCAATTTTAGAATTTTTAATATATTACACTTTAATAGATGAGGTAGCTATGTAATTTATAAAAAGTTCAATAAATGCACATTAACATTACATAAAATGCACAATATGATGTGTTAACATGCACAATATTATGATTTAGGGTCTTAGTGTTTGGATTTTAAAATTACTACATTTATGTGCAATTGGTTGAATACTATTGTGCACTGGGACGCCACTATTTTGCAGCCAACTAAACGAATTTTGGTCTTATATTAGTTCCTTTTTTCGGACGATTCACTTAAAATTACTATGTAAAATCAAAATAATTTATACTTATATTAAACATATATTTAGTATTTTAGTATTTATTTATTTTCATATTATTTTTAGTTAAAAAAAAATATATATATAATACCAAAATCGATAAAGTGCATACACATAAGTAAAAATGTGCGTTTAATATATCATTATTGTGCACTCTACTGTACATAGGTATTTTTTATGTGAATTTTAATTTTAGAAAACTTTAATAATGTGTATTTTAATTAACATTGTTTGTGCAGTCATTAAATTATGTATATAATAAAAATGTATTTAGTATGTATTATTTTATATTTATTTATATAGTCAAACTAAATTTTATACATACAAAATATAAGAATAATAGTTTTTTACATAGTCAATAGTTTTGTTATGTTTTTTTTCTTTTCTGATAAATAAAGTCGAAACAAAACCGAAATGAACAAAATTTTTATATGTGAAAAATTGCACTCTGTTATATTAATGTGCATTATTATATGTATTAATGTGCATCTAGTATAACTTTGTTGTGCATTCTGATACTCACTAAATTATATTTAACTTTTTAATATTTTTATTTAACTCTTAAATATATATATTTTTTGTTTATTTAAATACATAATATAAATTTATTGAAAATATATATAAATAATAATTTTTTATATATTGTCTTTTATAAATTTTATATTTGACTTATTTATATATATATTTGTATAAATTATATATTCAACCCATAGACTAAATTGAAATAATAATAAAATGTTTGAAATTTTCAAAAATTACATATAAGTCCTTGATATCTATCTAATTCTCAAAATGAGACCCATAAACTTTCAAAAATTACACGTAACTCCACTGTTCACTCTTTGAACTTCCCCTCGCCGCCGCCGTCTAGCATCACTGTCACCGTCGTTGGCGGATAGTCGTCGGCTTCTGCCCTCCCAGATGGCGGCCCTGCACCGCGCCGTTCGTCTCCATCTCCGGCGACGGAAATTCACCCACTTCCACCCTCCCAGCCGCACGCAGATTTGCCGACCGGATCGCCGCGGCTGCTATCCGCCAGGGTGTGGACTGACTCCGGCTGTGCTAAGTTAGAGACCTCCGCCCTGACGCTCCCCCGTTGATCCTGGCGCCGTTTTTTTCTTCCGGCGGAGTTGAGTTCTCCGGTTGTCGATGGCGAGCTGTACCCCGGAGCATGTCACCGTTGCTGGCTTGTTGTGGCGGGGATGTGACCGGCGGGCTCCGGGTGATGGTCTTTGTTGCGTATGTGTGTGTGAGTCTCGCCTGGGTTGTGTGTGTGTGAAAGAGAGAGAGAGAGAGGAGATGCGTGTGTTGTGTGTGAGAGAGAGGAACATTAATGTTACAGATATTAAAGTATGTGTGTATCGGTTGGTGTGTGTGGTGGAGAGAGAGAGACATTAACTAATGTTAGCTAGCTAGTGGGTGTTAGGGGCCGGTGGGGGTCGTTCCATTAATTTGGCAGTAGATAAATTGACCACATTACCCTTAATGTGTTTAAATTTTTTTAGTTTTTTTAACTGTTGGATGATCGGATCATGTGGCTAGGATTTATTCTTATTTCTTTCATTAAGCATCATTCTCACCGGAGCGCATCCCTATATATATATATATATATATATATATATATATATATTTAATTTAAATATAAAAATATGTACTATATAGATGAACTAAATATGCATTTCGTATAAACTAAACATGCATCATGAATTAACTGAATCTGCATCATTATATATTTATTTTAAATATAACAAATATGCACTTCATATTAACTAAATATGCATCGTCAATGAACTAAATATGCACATGTATATATGTAATTTGAATATAATAATCATACACTATGGATAAACTAAATTTGCATTTCGTATGAATTAAATATGCATCATGAATTAACTAAATATGCAGAATTATATATTTGATTTAAATATAACAAATATGCATTATGGATGAACTAAATATAAATTTCGTATGAAATAAATATGCATCATTATATATTTAATTTATACATTACAAATATATTGTTTATGAACTAAATATGCATTTCATATAAACTATATATGCAAAAAAAATAAACTAAATTTGCATTAATTAAATAATAAAAAAGCAAAGGTTTAGAGTGAAGTTTATCGAACTTCAAATAATTTATAGATTAACCCCTAGGACCAGATTGCAATAATTTATAAATTTTTAAAATTGCAAGTAAGTCCCCGAAATTTATCTAATTTATGTGCAATTTTTAATTAATTGATATATATCATTTTTAATGTATTTTGCGCAATTTAATACAATTGCTATCAATCAAAGACAAGAACGGAAATGCTCACTTAGGGAGAAAGTGATAGAAATTTGACATGTTACACTTGGAAGGATTAGAGGACCTAGACTTTATGCTTAGATGTAACACTTGGAAGGATTAGAGGACCTTGACTTTATGCTTAATTTTTTTTAGTATCAGCGTTATCATATTTCGATAGTTTGTCTACGGTGTTTCAGAAATTTAATAGGGATATGATATGATTTATTCTATAGCAAGAAACGGATTTTCGGAAGAGACTACTAGTTGTGTGAATATAAAAATTAATGTAACTTCATGTAATTTTACGTAAATCAATATGAATAAGAATGAACTTTTAGTGGATTGTTACTCTCTCTCAAAATTCTTTTACTATGTAGTATTTGACCAACAATTACAAATTTCTCCTATTTATCGCTAAGTATGTAGATACATAAAGATTTCATTTAGATTAAAAAAAAAAACTTAGTTAATTGATGTATATACATCCATTTCTCCTATTTATCTCCCACCACCAGGACCATCAAAATACAAATTTGTCGACCTGTGGGAACAAGCAAATGCCTAAGCGATGAACCAACACCAAAATCATTTGAATGTTCACCACACTATTCCCAGCAATATGTAACATGTTCGCACCCTGCATCCTTAGCCCAGGGTTGTAGAAAATTATGTAATTTTTACCGACTACCGAATCAAAGGATTCGTTTCCTAGGTCGATCTCTCGAGGAATATTAGCCGGATTAAAATGCACGATTATTGAAGCACAAAATGAAGAAATTAAATTCCTAAACATTCTAATTCAAAGATTGGTTTGTCTTTTAACAAACACCTAAGAAGTTCAGAAACGCAAATTTAGAAATCAAAGCAAAAACAATCAATCAATAGTGATAAGGAAGCTAAGGAGTCAGAGATAATCGTTTTGGTTCGAAATGCAATTAACGGGAAAATGATCGTTCGGTTAAAATATTCGAATAACCTACTCGTTCAGAGATTTATTCTCAATGACTTTTCGTAACAAGAGAATAAACGTCAACGACAAATTAACAAGTCATTTAACACATAGGCAATACAGTTACGAACAAGCCTATTTTATACGAGCCTAGATCGACCGACTCTTCCACATTCGGCTCTAAGAGTCGATTAAAATATACTAGAAGGTGGTTGATCGACTATTCTGTTAGGGTTGAAAACAATACACGAGAACAAATCATATTCAATTGAAAACCAAATGTAAATTGAAGTGTCACTCTTTAATAATAATCAACATTCAAGCATAAAGATCAAAAAACCTATTTTCAAATTAACTCTCATAAATTGAACGATTCAACAAGCACGACAATCACAATCGAATCCAAAATATTATCCCCTATTTGTAGCAAATCGGATTTGTTACTCATATTGAATTCAACAACATCAATCAAATTAACCCAAGCAATCATATTCATAGATTAGATTAAGAGAAAACTTACGACTTAAACAGGACTAAACATTGAATCTGAGATACAAGATTAATCCGAGAAAAATAGAGAAGAAATTCAAGATGAAAAGCAAGATCGAAGTTTATGTTTTAATGTTGGAATTGAGAAAAAAAGGAGTTTAGGGGGTTGTCTTTCAGGTCTGGGAGCACATCCTAATATACAGGGCTCGACAAACCGAGTGTTGACACCCGAGTTCGAGAGCCGAACCGGAGATCCGGTCCACTCAGAAAGTGCCGAGCTGGACCGGAACATTTTATGACCCAGACGTTCCCGTGAGTCCGTTCGTCAGTCCGGCGTTTGCGGCTATAAAGTCCCGGTGCCGATCTGAGGAGCGACGGGCTGAAAGATAGGTTCCCCGGGGAGGGAGGAACCAGCAAAGAAAAGGTGCCGGTCTGGAGTCTCAGGACGGGTCCCTGCAATGAAGGTGCCGATCTCGATAGCAGTATAATAAGGCCACTTGGAGAGTAATCATTGGCTGATGGATGGGACATCCTAGCCTGTTGACCTACCTCCCCTAGCCAAGACATAAAGCCTGCCAGCATTAAATGCCTGTCAGACAATGATGAGGAAAACCTCAAATCGCATTAAATTCTGTCAGGGAGGCGCCGAACTACTCTGCAAGAAACACTGTACGACAAGACTGATGAACAGTGCCTGAACAGTGTCACATTTAAGGCAACTATAAATAGCAGCCCACTTCATTTATTTTGGGTTGTTGAATCCCAACTACTTGCACTCATATTTTCTCTCTCTAAAGATCTGTAAGAAATTCTTGTAAGAAACCTCGAAGTATATCGCAAGTGCCGACCTCGTACGAGAGGCCGACCTCGTGATCATCTAATAAAATCACAATTAAACCGTATTTCTTTGTCTTTTCCTTATTTCCTTTCCATTACTTAACTTTTTAACCGTTGACCGGAAACGCCCGTCAACAGTTTGGCGCTAGAAGGAGGGCTCCATAAGTTATTTGGTGTCAACTTTTCGATCTTGTAAAACTCCACACCACGCTCATCTTTTCCCACTTTCACTTTCAAAAGCAACTCAAAATGCCTTCATCTGGACATGACGACTCCACCCAGCAATCCGGCCCCCAGCCTCGCCGACGCAATGGCGGGGAGACTTCCCGTCGCGTTCAGCAGGGGCCCATAGTCCCTGTTCCCCCAGTTCCTACATTTGCTGCAGCTTTGCAGCATCCCGACGTCCTCAAAGCCCTCGAAGGGGTCTTCGCCAAGGCCCTCGCCAGTCAAACCGCCGGGGCAAACACCGTGGCGGCCACGGAGAACCCCGGTAACACTTTGCTGCACACTCCTGAAAAGGAGACCGGTGGACAGAGGAACCCAGCGAAATCCAAAACCACGGCCCAATCACCGAACCGCGAGGCTCAGAACCGTCGCGACAAGAGTACCAGACCGGCTCCCACAGAGCAGACAGGGGAGAGTCGGCCGGAGCGCAGCCTCCCGGTCGTTCGCCGCTCTGTCCACCAGCGCTTGGGTGACAAGAGCCACGCCAACCAAGACCTCTGGGAGGTGATTAGGCGGGGCAAAGCCATCGGCCACGACACTGAGGAAGTCGCAGCCCTCAAACGCAGAATTGCCGAGTTGGAAGGTCGGCAGCCCACCGGGAGTGAGTTTTCACTCCCAGCTCATCAGCAAACCCGTACGCGACCGACTCCTCGAGTCGCGGATAACGCCTCATCTCTCTCCCTCGATATCCTGCAAGAGGCCGTCCCGAAGGGAATACAAATACCCCAGCTCGGCCTCTATGACGGGAGCTCGGATCCCGACTCACACCTCGGCCTCTACACTTCGTGGATGGACCTACACGGCGCCTCCGACGCCCTGCGCTGCCGCATGTTCTCCCTGACGCTGGGACCCAAGGCGCAGAGGTGGTACCATTCCCTGTACCCCCACTTCATTTCAACCTGGGCACAGCTCGGGTCGGCGTTCCGGTCCCACTTCATCGGATCGCAGGTCAATCTCGTCCCCAAGGAATCAATCTCCAACATCGTACAGGGCGAGAATGAGAGTTTGAAGAATTACATCGCCAGATTCAACGACCGGGTCCAAAATATGGACCGTTGCCACCCCGACGCCCTGCTCATCACGGCCCAGGGTGGCCTCAGACCTAAGACGCTGTTCAGGTGGTCCCTGTGCCAAAACAAGCCGACCACCTATCAGGAATTCCTCACTCGCGCTCAAGACTACATTATGGCGGAGGAGTCCTCATCCATCCCGACATTCGACGCCGCGCCGGCACCGGCGCCAGCGAAGGTGAAGG